GAGTGAGAGAGAGAGAGAGTATTTATAAACAATACACACATTGGGCTCCAAGGGACCCCGTAGGGATATCACAATGAGTAGCCATAAAACAGTGGGCATACCTGAGATAAGAGGCAAAAGTCCCTTTCAAGAAAATGACAAACATCACTGATAAGTACCTTTTTGTGTGCAAAAATTGGCACAACATTGTACATATCAGCAGCGAGAAACTCGTCTTCAAACTAGAACCACATGTAAGCCTGTCTTGGGTGGTGATTATATATGCATCCAAACAAGGCTGAAGAAATTTGATTAACCGCGGAACCAGGCATGCTCAAAACCTCATGACCATAGGGAATGTTTAGGACCATCATTGTCCAATCAATGGTTTGGACAGTGATGGAACGTGAGACTCACCATCAAAGTCATCATGTTCAGAGGGATTCCACCCTGTACATCACTGTCCACAACCCATGGTTCAGAAAGTATTGGTCACATGACTATAGAAATCTATTGGAGCAATCCATAACCAATGAGGCACTGAAACCCAATTTTGCATGATACAGACCAGGAATTGATTCAATCCCCTTGAACTAGCTGGTCCTCCATCTCAACTGTCTGGTTCGCTGAACCTAATCCAAATCAAATGGTTTGAGCCAGCCTCTTGTTTCTTCTTTAGAAGAAATCTCCAATTTTGTTTCTTAATATTCTCACAACCAGGTCAGTTCATCAGCACCTCACTCGTTCAGTGGGTCAATAGCGGCAGGTTCTAGTAACATTTTCTTGCCTTAATTTGAGCAGATATATTAGGTAATATCAGAGACATCAGTTGACACAAATATCAGCCAGAGACAGAGAATTCGAACATCAAATCAAAGTGTATTTAACCAGGAAGCAAGTCGATAGTAGGTTAGAGCTGAATTGCATGGCAAAAGAGCACATCAAAACTGATTTCCTTTTATACATTTCACTACAAGAAGAATGTTACAGGACTACAAGAAGAATGTTACAAGAATGTTGAAACTCAAAAGGACTCACTTCTTTTGGAAGGTGACCATATAAACAAAAGCTATTATCCGTGTGATTACACCATATAGAACTAGTACGATGAGACAGAGATACCAGTCGCTGAGATCGTATCCACTCTGCATTAGTGATCCACACCGAGTTATCAGCCAAACTCCTGAATATCTGCCAAGAAAAGAAGAAACCAAAAGGTAATTAAACATATTTAAAAATTGATAAACAAGACAATTCTTCTCTTTCAGAAAAAATCAAGTCTTAAATCAGTGAATTACAGAATGGTTTCTAGAGAAATGGGCACATCTTATGGATTCTTCAGGATAGACTGGATAAGAACATTGAATCTTCAAGACTATTTTTTCACACAAATAGCATAAACAAGGCAGGTTTCAGAAAAGCACTAGAAGACATTTGTCCAATGGAGAAACTAACCAAGACTTAGTAAACAAAAACAAAAATATTTTTTATAGGACAACCCCATAATTGTCGAAACTTAGCTGAATGTCAACTTTATTCCATGGATGGAACAAAACAAAATTGATGGCCTCATAAATTGCCAACTGGTCTAATTCTATATGAACTCCCAGCATTCCTATTTTCTCAAAACCAACGTGTAGCCACATTTCTGCGGAGGGGGAAGACAGCTAGGGAGTATAGAGGTACAAGAGTACAAGATGCAGAAAGAGATAAGAGTAGGAGATAAAGAGAGATAGGTGGCAGGTTTATGGGGAGGAAGAATTAGAGTGTGAAGAAAGAAGTTCAGTGAATGAAGAAACTATGCTTGTGCAAGCTAGAAAGGAGGGAATCATAAGGAGAGTAGTCGATATTAGATATTTGTTATTTATTATTTCTAAATATCTCTTCCCAAGTTCCCATTCTAAATGTTAGAACTATTTTGAGTGTCAAATATAGCACAAGATAGTACTAATATCATTAGAAAGACAACCAGAATCAGCATTGGAAAGCAGCCAAACCTCTCAGCATTTGCAATCACAAACCCTTCCAAGGCCCACTTTGGATAACATAAGTTAGCCATGTTTTTCAGAATGGCACTTCGGCTTTGCTGTGTTGCGATGAGAGTTAAAACAACGGGGAGGAGTACCGACCACTGAAAGATTTACCTCATGGATTAGAATACAAAATGATTGAAGAAGTGTTGTCTATGTGTGGTTATAAGCATGTCTCAACTTGAAGGTAATGAAATCCAAAATCAACTCTTCTTACTTACCAGTTGGGCTGGTCCGGGCTCGAGGATGATAGCAAATACATAGGCAATACCAGTCACACAATAGACTAGTGCGACTAAAACTATGTAATTATCAGTAAAGGATGACCTGGGGTTGTTGAAGAAATAGAACATTGAGAGATAGACGAGAGGCTTTATCAATGTATTAAATAGGTCTATTGTATCCTTTGAAAGAAAAGATGCAAAACCACTCATGCCAGAGGCACTCTCTCTCCAGTAGTGCAACTTATCGAGAGCGAACGTTCTCAATGCAGCAATCTTGCACAAGAGAGCTGCAATTCATTCAATAACATCGGAACTGATCACAATAGCTCACTGATAATATCAAACAAGAACATCAATCTTGATGAGTTCAAAAACAGTTTAAAATAATGACTTGAAAACCAGTCCACTATTATAGTGCAAAAAAAAAAAAGCAAAAAAAAAAAAAACAAAAAACAAACCGAAAAACAAAAAAGAAGAAGAAAACAGTCCACCTCAAAATGGAATATGTAGAGTTTTCTCGGTTCCTAGAACAGCAAGATCTCATTTAACTTTTACTGCAAGTTAACATCATTGACATGGCCACATGGGTGGAGCATCATTTAATTTATCCATAAAGTGCCAGGTCTATCACAAGATTTCAAGCGTCGATGTTTTTTAGTGAATGACCTAGCAGGCATGGGCCAAAAACCACATAAATGTGCTCATTCCTTGGAAATTGACTAATTGTTCACAGTTGTCCATTGGAATTGTGAGCTTTAAAAATCTCCAATTTAATCAAGGAAGAACAAAAAATTGTTAAAATAGAAGGCAACCCAATTCATATTTGAGTAGAAGAAAGATAAACAAATGAATTACAACCCATAGGCAGATTGTAGATCTAGCCACGGGTTTACATAAACAATAGAAAGCCATGCAGCAAATAATCACCAAGTCCAATGACCCTATCTTCCAGCTATACATGGCAATGCATGAAGGATAGCTGTTTCTTGTGAGCCATGAAATTTATGTCTAGGACACCAATAGTATAACCGTGATAATAAGCTCAAGTTCCACTATCTTTTGATTTCTTGCATATAAAAAGATATCAGCTAAAAATTCTATAAGGATGTCATTCAACTATTTAACTTACAGACAGCAATGACAGTATAAGTGTAGCCAAGAGCTCCCATGGTTTCATCATTAACTTTAGCTAGTGTTCCTAAACAAGCTCCAGCAAGTAACAAGATCAAATAGTCCACGGCTTGAATCTTAGCTTCTCGTAGACGCTGCTTACCAACTCTGTACAAAATAAAGTTCATATGATGAGCATATTCCAGAAAGTACACATGTTATGTAAAATATTTAGCAGGAATGAATGTTATAGAAATCATTCCTTGTTTGCTTTCACATTAATTTCTAGTTTTCAAGTTCTTTTTTTAAAATGAATGTTTGTTTTGAAGGTTTATTGAAGACTAGTTATCCAACTTCCCTAAAAAGAAAATTAAACAAAGAGGATTTTGGATATACCTCCCTAAAAAGTATCTGTATTGCTGGGTAGTGCCAGCTGTTATGCGGTTAGACAAATCCTTGACTACTAAGAAATTATGTTTTATGTTGTCCCTCTTGAGCTCGACATTGCATTTAACATCCGACCATAGCTCCCCTGCAAAAGATTGGGCTTCCCCGCCAGCACCAGGAGCACTACCATTATTAAGTGAATTCCCACGTGCAGGTGCATCCAGGCCAGATAGATTATGTTGCATATCTGGGGGAACTTCATATCCATTATGCAGCATCCATCTGATGGGAAGATTTTTACAATTGAGATTTGGATTATTTGGCTTTGCTATGCCCTCCAAAATGTCGATGTAGTGGTCCGGTGGATTTACACGATCTGGGACATTAATTCCAAGGTTTCCAAAGTACTCTTCAACTTTTTTTACTGATCCATGATATACAGTGAGGCCCCCCTTGGCAAGCAATATTAGATCATCAAACATCTTGAACAATGCATAGCTGAAACAGAACCAACTTCATTTATGTTCGAAGAAAATAGAAATGATGTAGCTCTAAGCATATATTGACCCAAACCAAGACAAAAAAGAAGGTCACTCATTCCCAGACATCTGATGATAGAAACTACATGAAGTGTCACTATTATTTACCAAAATGTCCCAGACTCAACATGAATTACATCAAGATGCCCAAAATTTATTGAATGTATCCAGGTTGGCCATGTTCATCCAATAGTACTAACACAATAGTAATAAGAAATAACTCAAACCATACCAGGATAAAACAAATTTCACATTCAATCAAGAAATATGGACATTTATCAATCAATTTGGAACATAAATATTAGTTGAAAACAAAGCAACAATACAATATATGAAAAAGAAGTAATTAACTGAAAAACAAGTAAATGATGCCCTACGTTTAACTCAAGACTCTACAAAAAACTTAAGGGACAATGAAGGTTCAAACTTGGCGTGGAAGCGTCAACCTTGTACTTGTGTCACAATATTGGGTGAAACGAATGAACTAAGCAATGGGATTCCCTGTGAAGTGTTTTATTCCACAAAAAATCATAATCAGTTTCCCTATGATCCCTGTCAGCTGGGAATAATATGATCTCTACCATATGGCTTGCACTTTTTCTCACAAAATATGAGCAACCCAATATTTGATAAAATGTAAAATCCAAATGACATCAGTAGTGTTTCCAACAAATGCCTGATATTCAACTTTGACACTCAAGCAACTATGTGTTTCTTTTTGTTGAACCAAACAAGTTATGAACCGCAGTCCCTTTCATAGTGTAGGTTCACAAACATATAGAAAATCCCCAAGTGTTTATTGCATATTCATTCTGCGAGAACTGTGAATCAAGCAGCCTGATAAGCAAGAAGCAGTGAGTGAAGTTGTGTAGTCACCTAGAGAACTTAAGGAAAAGGCAATAGTTTTCACAACACGCGATGACAAATGGCACAAGATTTTCATTCAAGACATTGGAAATAAGATAACTATCCTTAGGGAAATCTATTGTAACAACTAGCTGACCAAAGAATAGCCATCTAGTGTATCACGAAGAGACATGCATGAGTTTTTCCAATACTCCAGATTGGGATGGTGTAAAGTGCCGACATTTCGACATGTCTTGACATCTCTAGCCACAGGGTGTAATGAATACGAAAATACAGCTCAACCAGAGATCAAAATCAGAGCATCTTATGGTATAGGAGCCTTATACTCTACCACAAGGCTAAGAGCAACCACATGTGAAGATAATATGAAATTTTTATTATATATCAGAAAAACTAACATTTCATTTAAAACAAAAGTACACAGGCATCTAACCAAGGTACTAGATACTGTTACAAGTGTTGGATACCGAGTCTTGTGTTGGTGCGCATGCAAGATTGATAAAGGTACATTGCCAACTTTATCAAAAACGAGGCAATGGGAGGTAGAATCAACACACCACAAATGAGTATTGAGAACCATCAGACAAGATGCTTTTTTTAGTCCTTGGCGAAAGAAACTGGAAGAACTTTTTGCTAGCTTGGCATGATATGTATCTTTGCATCGGTTTCAATGGCATGTTCAAGTTGTCAACTAAATAGTATTTGGCAACATTGAGATTTTGTTTCAAACTTTTTCTTTTTATAACCTAGGAAAATATGTAGTCCTAACTATTCGTGCTAACCTAGGCCCTATGCACTGATGCAAGGGTACCTCAATAAACCATATGATATTATCAATTGTGATCTAGGGAAGGGTAATAATATACAATTAAATACATAGATATATAAATAAATAAATAAGTAAATAAAAAAGTTGAGAGTTCTTAAGGCATGCAAGGGATCCACTTCAAAATGTCTCTTCACAAGACTATAAGACACTCCTAAATTTTATCATCCACTTGCAATAACCCAATAAAATTTATTTGCAGGAAAATCCCTAATAACTAGACACACAAAATCCCAAACACAGTTAAATTCTAGCACCCTAATTATTCCTATCTATCCGTCTAAACTATGCAAATATCCCTAAAGGAGAAAAAATATTTCAATTTCATACACTATAAATAATAAAATGAAAAAAAATCTAACCACATCAAAATGATTGCAAACAAACTTTCTAGAAGTTGATTTGAAATTTGTTTTGCAAGCATGTTATGAACAAAACCTGTAAGCCAAGTCTGAAGACCAACAACAACAATTGTGAATAAGTGCATGAGCTATACAAATCCGCAAATATTGTAACCCCAGAACAAATTTCACGAGCACCCCAGTGATTTTTAAGAGATGTTCCATTAACCACCCTAGAAGATGCCACTGGAACATGCAAGGTTTGTGTAATTAATACAAAATTCATCTTCTGTCAGTCAACATTTACGATTGTGGGCCTAAACACTATCACAAATCCCAAATGGCATGCATGTGTGCATGTGAGTGGATGAAAAAACACATTCAGTTGGATAATTGCACATGTAAATTGCTGCAAGAATGAAGTAGCTATATCATCCCTGCCTTCTTCAATAGAAAAAAATAACTACATTATACAAAACAAAATTGAAATAATTATGCGTAGATACCTAGGTTGATGGACCACCATGCTTATGTTCACACCCTCAAGAGCTTCACGACGAAGAGCTCTAAGAAGCAATAGGGAAGAAGAACTGTCTAAACCAGATGTTGGTTCATCTAGAATCAATAATGATGGTTCCATGACCATTTCCAGTCCCACATTCACACGTTTTCTTTGTCCACCAGAAATGCCCCGCTTTTCCACAGTACCAACCAACGAATCTCGTACATTCTGTAACCCCAAGGCCTCGACGACTCGTTCAACAACTAGAACTTTGTCAGCTTTTGGCATGTCCGCAGAAAGTCTTCAAATAAAGAACATAACAAAACAGAGAAGGTAAGCACCATTCAGCTCACATAGGATAGGGACTTCAAATAATCACCCATAACAATATAAGAAGGAAAAAGAGAAGAGAAATACAGATACTGAAAAGCTTCAAAACAATAAGATAAAATCATCACTAAAACAAACTGATTTGAGAACTTGTTATCACAGAGTAGGAACCTCACTCCTGACTCTGAGAAATGTAACTTATCATTTTGTATTATTCGGAGCGATCAAAATTCATTCTACTTGGAATAGTGGAATAGCTGAATAGGTATGCTAGAAGTCTACAGAAGATGAAAAAAGTCAATCTCCATGAAGAGACCTAAAAGGCACTGACCAAACATATGTATTGGTGAAGATGGAGGAAAACTATGAATGTAATTCCCGCATAATTTGCCAAATCAATCCAATTTACTGGTCACACACACGCATGCAGGTATACGCACGCACACGGCCAAAAGAGATTAAATAGAACATAAGACAAGCAAAGACAACAAAAGCCACAAGCACATACCTACACCTAGTGCGCACGCACACACACGCATAGCCAAAAGAGATTAAATAGAACATAACACAAACAAAGAACAGTGATAGCCACAAGCACATACCTACACCTAGCACTGAACCAGAGATTCTCCTCTACGGTCAAGTTCCCATGCACAATATCATCTTGTGGGACAAAGCCAATGATTTTCTTGTATGAATGGATTGATTCTATCTGCCCATTTATTAGGATCAACCCTGACATTGTACAGCCAGTTGCTTTGCCTGCCAAAGCATTAAGAAAGGTTGTCTTTCCAGCCCCAGATGGACCCATAACAGCAGTAACACGACCGGGCATAATCTTTCCAGTTACACATCTCAGGAGATGTTTTTTCTTCCCTTTGAGAGTGAGGGTTAGATCTTTGAATGCAAGCTCAATTATAGGTCTTGTCCTGATTTCACTATCAGTAGCCATGGAAATAACACCTGAAAAAGTAAGGTTCTTGTTCTGTTGTTGCATGGCCTTCTCTTTTTCAAGTTGACCGTACGCATATTTAAAAATCTGACTGCGAGTTTGCATGGTTTTAGGTTTTGGCATATTCTTTCTAATATTTCTGTCCCCAATGTCAAGATTGAAGCCTTCATTACTATCAGGATCATCTTCAAGAGCGCGCATCATTTTAGTTAGACTACTCGGCTCCTTTTTCTTTGAAGTTGAGGGTGCAGATGATTGCTTAGAGGAAGATGCAATATTAAGAGGCAAAGTTGGCAATAAGGAATCCTCTGGCCCAGGAGGCTTAGGATAACCTAGGACCTTGAGTTCATTGTCCTGCCTTACAGATCGCTTACGAGAAAATGTACGAGAGAGTTGTGTTTGCAAACCAATTGCATGCTTCTTAGCAATGTCTTTTGCAGTCTTCCACCTCTCTCGTGCCTGTGCAGTCTCTCTTGCATTCCTCATGGCAGCGTCTCGGGATAAGGCTACTCTTCTTTCCCGAGTAGTAAGGACTTGGTCGGAACAGTTGTAAATTATGAGGAGTAATGTGCTCACAGCAGCCTGAGGTTATCAAGTGTTACTTTCTCTAATCAGAATGAAGAAACTTGAGCAAGTGAATAGAGAAAGCTACCTTTTTTCTAGAGACAAAAAAAGGAAGGAAAACAAAGTAGTCAAAACTCTTTCCTCTACAGATTAAGGTATTTTTGGCCTAAGAATATTTCCTAATTGAGGAGGGCACAAGGAAATGCAATAAGAACCATAAATGGATGAACACTTACAATGAGCATGACTCCATATGCATGAATATTTTGATTTGCGGTGTTTGGATCACAAGTTGTCAGCTTGAAACACCCTGAAAATTATCCATAGTGAAGTAGCACAGGAAGGCACAGATTAAATAAGCTACATGAACTTGTTGAAGTTCCTGTAAGGGTAAGCGGACATGATACTCTCAAGTTGGATAGTCAATAATCAAATAGATACAACTGGGCAATAATTTTGCTTCTAATTTTACGAAAAGGAACTTACTTTTCTCAGATGTAGAACCCATCCTGCAGTAATGCCTGCATCACACACGAATTGTCCAGTTAGTGCAAAGAACTCAAAAGGATAAAAAAGATAACAGAACATATATTCTACGAAGAAAATAGCAATGTATAATATCCATTTAAAGAAAACCATATAGAACAATATATACTTAGTTCTTGCGAAATGTATATTATATAATAGAAGCATGAAAAAGTAATGAGGAGGAAAAACAATACCCACTACTGCAAGGAACTTTGGCAGTGGTACTTGGGCAGTAAGATCCTGCTGAACAGAACAATTCACTACTGTGTCCAACATCAGCCCATATATCTGCTCCACCACAGGTATGGTTAAAGTTTCCAGGAGGCAGCTGGTATCGATACCTGCCATTTTCAAAACATGAACAGGTATAGATTTCAAAGTGACCAAAATAACAACATAAATTGGGAAAAACAACAAATTATTCAAGCTGAATAATCCACTTACGGTTCACAAATTCCAGTAGTGCGGTTGAGTTTAGCTTTCGGGCAGTATGCACCTAAAGGGCAAGCTTCAGTTGCAACAAAGAGTTAAAAATTAATTAGAAGGCAGTAATGAAATAACTGCACCAAACAGTTGTAAATATTGTAACAGCAAAATTAACAAACAAGATAGCAGAACATGCAGAGTAATAGCTTCAAGACCAAAGAATACAGTTTCAGTCATCAGATCATTTCTATATTTTTCTTGTCATTTTTCTCATTACCTGATTCTTCAAAAACAAATTGGCCATATCTACTGATTGAAATCAGATTACTTAGGGATCTTGATTCATGAACATTGCAACATTCAATTTCATACAAATGCTTTTGACTCTATGAAGATTACTAGGTGAAAACCAGAAACAAAATCGAGGTGGTAGAAGTGTAGAACCTATCTTAACAGAAAAAAGTGTGCAGGTAATCACATATTATTGAGACATCCAAAAGTGAGAGTTCCTTAGCAGAACCCAAGTTCTTTGAAGGTTTTTACCAGAAAGGGTGCCTAGACCTCACCGGGAACCAAAGCAGTCATCTAAAGGTCAAGGGTGGCAGTTACAACCAAAAGGGATTAGGCTGATGCCTAAGGTTCCCTCCCCACCAATTAAGCAAGGAACTCCACCACTGAACAAGGTAAGTGACACAGAAATCTCCAACAGAAGCGAACCCATGGTAGCCAGCACCCATTTCCAATACAAATAAGGAACCATTATTTTCCTCACGGCATTACTGTTCGTAGGCTCCTCATCAGTACTATTTTTATTATATTCATGTTCTTTTTGTTTAGTTACTGATTGTAGTTGCAGTTATGTAGTAGGTTCAGTGATCATGGCAGTTTTCAAATTAGACATGTCCAGCTTTCCTTTTTCTTTGTTGGGGGGAGGGGGAGAAGAATCATATCATTTCAAGTATTCAATGATATTCGAGGTAATCTTCCTTTCAAAAATACAGAGCAATTTAAAAAAAAAAGAGTACTTATCAAGTACTACGGACCTTAATAAATAGGGAAACTAAATAAAACAAAGATTGGCAGTTAATAATTAGTAAAGCATCATCTCATGACAAGAAATGAAGTATGTAAACATGGCCATGAGTCACTAGAAATACCAAAACCAGAAATTTTTTTACTAACCTCCAGATGAAAACTTCAATGTGAAAACTTATAAATAACAAATTAAAGTGCTTTGATATTGCGGTCCTCATAAGAAGTATGGCGTCAGATTCAGCCAACCAAAATTTTCCAGTTATCCAACGAATGCTTTTTTCTTTACCACCCAAAACATGGGTAAGAACACAATTGTGCCAATGATTTGACCACATACAATGTTTATTGAAAAGGTGAGCGGCTGAATCTGTCCTCTAAATATCAAATGTAGTAAGAAACCCTAGGTTTCAGTTTGTAGAAAAAACTAGGCAAGTATCATAGAATTACTAAAAGATCAGTCCAAAAATTAATTCAAGCAAACTTGTATGTACTCACGTATCATGCAAGTTAAACCACGGGGGCAGAAGAAACCCGAGCAACAAGGCTTGGAATCCAGTATTCTAGTAGGTATAGTATTGGAATCACGGAGAGAAACCTTCTCATCAACACCCACACTGCACGCCCACCCTGGTTCACATCCAGGGATCCATGAAGTTAAATTACAGTTCTTATTAGGCTTCAAGTAATTGGTACTCTTTCCTCCACTTGCATAGAAGCTACTAAAGTATAACTTTATTTCTGCTGCAGTACAAAGGCGTTGCATGAGATCCCCTGTTCGTCAAATCAAGTTAGTCATTGGAAGTCTGGGACTGAGATAAATAGTGAAAATATTAACAATTAAAGGAAGTACACAAAGGTCATATTATAGGAAAATAGTTCAATCCCATGTTCTCTAGTTCCTATAAAGCTTAGGATGATTAAATACAGAGTTAGTGGCATGAACAACTTTCCAATATTTCCAGTTAAACCACAAACAAGCTCTTGAGTTCAAACTTCATATCATAGAAAAGACCAATATGGTGCACACTCCTGGTCCCTTGCTCAATGGCAAAAAGTTATCTACTGAAACGTTTCTCATAGTAACTCAAACAGAAAAAGAATTTAAAACTCATAAATTATCTAAAATATCACATTTTGATTTCATCAAGTGAGGCGTACAAGCTGTTAAAAATACACACATGCACATGCACATGCACATGCCCACACACACACACACATGCACGCATGCACACTCCTGGTCCCATGCTCAATGGCAAAAAATTATCTACTGAAACTTTTCTCATAGTAACACAAACAGAAAAGGAATTTAAAAATCTTAATTAAGATATCACATTTTGGTTTCATCAATTGAAGCATACATGCTGTTAAAAATACACACACCCTCACGCAAGCACACACGAATGCACACATGCATGCACATACACATGCGCACGCACACATGCACGCACACACACACACAAGACGAAAAGAAGGAAAACAAGATTGTATGTTCCACTTGTTTCAGTTGATTATGGGACTGTTACGCATCCATTGTTATAGAATGTGATCCAAACAAGTTTTGATGTAATCCCCGGAGGTTCAGCATGTCCCTATCAATTTAGGAAAAGCTCTTAACTGTGTGGAAGAACACAATTCTTTAAGGCTTTTCACAGCAATGTGAGACTCGTCTTGGGTCTCTAGTCAATGAGGCTTCATCTGCATCCAGGTTTTTGTCTGGAAAATCGGGAATAAGAGAAACTTCTAATTCATACGTGGTCTCAGGCCAAAAACTTAGGACTGTGAGCCAGAGGCCTACATACAAAAATTGATAAAATTTTGGGATACTTGTGGGTGCACCCACTCCTCTTATCTGATAAAGGTTTTAAGTACAACAGCCACTTGCTAGAGAGGCCAAAGAATCTCTTACACTGAAATCCATCAAGAACCAAAAGGCTTGCAATTTTCCTACAGCCTGTGAGAAAAATAGATGCAAATCCCCCAAACGCATTTTCAAGCCATTTATAACATCAGATTTTGAAAAACATTCAAAAGTCCAAACATCAGATTTTGCAAAACATTCAAAAGTCCAAACATGGGGCAAAACCTTGGAAAAATAAGCAAGGGCATTTACATGATGTGTGAAACTAAAAGAGAAGAATCCTCCCACCTTTACGTGAACCTTGCTGTAAAGGGAACTTGATGCCATATCTTGTAGGCATCAATTGAGAAAAATATGCTCCCCAGTTCAGCATATCTCTAACATCCATCCAGCAAGTTCAATGTTAATATTCATCACAACACTATTAATTGTGATTATGCCACGGCAAGAATGAGGAAGGACTCGCATTTTGGATTATACCAAGATTTCTAAAACTCAATAAGTACTTCCGGGTTTCTTTCTTCAACATCATGTAGAATTTTCCTTCATCAATAACAGCCTGCTAAAGTTATCAACCCTATTAATCCAATCCATATGTTGGCCAGGCAGATCAGACTTTCATGCATATGTCGGAACTCAAGAAATTTTTACAGTTTCTTATGAAGTTAGATATTGAAATTATATGAAGCTAAATGCTCCGATTAAGTTAAAAACAGCTTAAGATTCCAATGCAATTCGCAATATCAATTACAGGATTCATGAGAAGTAAAACTAAATTGAATCAGCATCTCATACCATTAACCTTCATGCATGTTGTTAAGAAAGTCAAATCTGATGAAAAATTGAAAGCACCATTCCAGTCCTTTTGCCTGCAAAATGAGGAAGAAAACGTTCAAAACAAGAAACTTGTAACAAAAAATAAAATAAAAATGAAGGGAGGAATAAACAAAAAATGTCACCTCCAACAATAAAACTCATCATTTCTGCAAAAAATCAAAAAAGAAAATAAAAAGAAGGGGCAAAACATAATAAAGTCTTAAATCCCTACATTTTCTATAAATCCCTACATCGTTCTGAACTAACTGCGCTTTGGGTACTTCTGACGATGTTTTGATATAAAAGGAGCTTTCAATACATAATTTCAACATTCTCCAATTCAAAACTAAATTGAGCATAGATTATTCCAGAAAAACAAAGTACGGTTTCATATTTAAAAAACCAAGAGAAAAATTCCCATACACATCTTTTCTAGAACCATAACCATCTTGCATGCTCGCATGTTTTAACTTCTACCCAGTCAAGTTAAATATTATAAAAGAACTAGAGAAAAAAATACAGAATCATTTGTTGTAGATTCCCCATCCAGCACAGAGAACCATATACCTTGCCAGTACCTCATCCGAACTACATGGTTCAAACCACATTTCTATCCAAGAAAATATGAAAAAGCATCCTGAAGGATTATTTATAGGGTATAATAATCTATAAAACTATTTTTACAGGGAAAAGAACAAATAAAAAAAATTAAGAAATGATAGACCTAAATTGAGCTCTTCCTGCAGAAACCACAGATTGGTAAATTCACAAGAAACTCACAGAAACACTTTCACCAGATCAATCAAAAAGGAAAATCACATTGAGATTTTTCCAATTCATTCAAAATAAACTCAACCCCTTCAAAAATAAATAAACAAATAAACAGAAAAATCCTACATTTGGTTTAATTTCAACTTAGTCAAACAAAATCAAAGAATTCAAAAAACAAAACCAAAAAAGAACCCGCATTTCAGCAATTTCAAAAAAACACAGCACTTCAAAAAAACGAAACAACAACCTATGAAAACACAGCATTTCACCAACTCCACTTTATTCAAATAAAGCTCAAACAACTCAAAGAAATAACAGCATTTCATAGATTCTCGTACATTCAAAAATGGAAACAAATTCAAGCTCAAACCATTTGAAAAACCAAAGCTCAAATCCTACCTACATTTCTGAAAAAGGAAGGACAAAAGAAAACCAAAATTCACAATATAAATGGGGAAATTTATCAAAGTACACCTAACTCATTAATTATTTAACATCTCACCCATTTCAACTGATCCAGCTCATGATCATGTGCAATTTGATGGAAATTTGAAATTAAATATAAAAGCAATTAGCAAAATGTTTAATTGTTCATCTCTTAGGTGCATTTTGATAAATTTCCTCCAATAAGGCGAAACAACAACAACTAAATAAAGGAGAAAAAAAAACTTACACATCTTTTATGCAAAATCCAAAGTGGGTAGTGATCTCTCCGGCGAGACTACCAGTAAGATTAGAGAGCCTGTTGAAAATAAGGCTAGCAACGAGAGCGGTAACAGCTTGGTCCTTTCCAGGGCTGGAACCATCATCCTGAGAATGAACACCTGGAGAAAGCCCTAAAACCAGGCCCAAAACGGCGATAAACAAGCAGATCCTGAGCCTCATTGTTCAAATTTTCAAAGGCTTTCTGACGAATTCTCCCCTTTTGGAGAATTACAGAGATTTTTTGAGGGCCTCCGCCACTGTTGCAGCTGATCGAGGAAAGGGAAAGAAAGAAAGTCTGTATTTTTTCTAATGGAAGAAAGTCTGTTTTTTTTTCTAATGGAGAAGTAAAAGGGACAGGCTGTGCTACAATGGCGGGGAATTTGTCGTCTTGGAGCTCAGAGAACCAAATTTTTAGGACACAAATTGTAGCCATTTGTCAACATAGAAACAAAAGCGCAGTCAAATTCAAATGAATATAGTCAAATTCAAATGAATATATATATATATATATATATATATATATAGTTTCGAAGATTTAATAATAATCCTGTTCAATGATTAAATGAGAACAAAAAAAAAATGATTGAATTGGAAATAAAATATAAGCACGATTTATTTTGCAGATGAGTTTCAATGCTCAAGAGTTTGGAACTTTCGATTCAATTTTCATTTAAATAATTTCCGTACAGACTTTAAAATTTTAGGTAAAATATAAAATGTTTCATTTTTATGTGGAAATTACAAATATCGGTTAATCCGTTTTTTTTATTAATTTCAAAATTACTCCTCAATAGAAAATGAAATCTTCAGGTTAATTTTTTTATTTTTTTTTTCATTAGTAGGGCAGTGCCCCAAGCTTTAGAAAAATACTTATTAGATTTTTATCTTTTAAATCTTTATCTTTTCACATACTCATACATCTAGATATCGAGATGATCAATTAGATTTTCCAACATCGAAATAGTCTTTTTCAATAGATTTTTCACCTTAATTCTGCCTTTTAAGATTGCGACCTTATATAAAAATTTTCCTTATTGTTGTTTGTACCCACTATTTTGATATCCAACCATTAAAAGAATAGCGTAAGCCAGGGTTTTAAAAAGTGCCTATTAGAGCCAATTCCAACCATATACCAACCATATATCGTAAATCGGTTGGTTCTATCAAGGAACTGACCGATCCGGTGCCACCTCTTATTTTTTATTTTTTTATTTTTTATTTCATTCTCTATTTTTTATTTTTTATTGACTGATTTACTTGGCTGGTTTGGTCCGAACTGCTGATCTGCCGTTTCAAACCAATTTTCAGGATGGGTGATCCAGGTGAACTTCCCTTTTTCTTAAAACACCTGTATAAACTAAAAGGGTGCGGTTTGTATAAAGCCATGGCTCTAGACAATCAAAGTAAAGCGCACTTGCAAATAGCGTTGAGAAATATGGTTTCAATACTAGAAATCTTTGTGATTGCTTTAAAATATATTTAAATATTTAATTATAAAAATTTAAAGTTTTAAAAACAGCGTAGATCAAGTAGATTTATGAAAAGTTGAAAATCTTGAAAATTGACAGTCCAAAAATGCGTTACAATAAGCGCTATTTCCAAAACTTGAAATCCATTTTTTTTCTCATGTACATGCATCTTTATATGGAGATGATCAATTTGAGGATATTTCAGTATCAAAACAACCAGTAAAATTTTCGAGGTGAGCTGTAATTTGATTGATTAGAGCCTCGGCTTTATATAAACTTTTTCCTACAGTAAATACAACTGTCCTTGGAATATGGCACTGGTATTTTTTTGGCACAAGCTTAAGCCGACATTGTTGACCTGAGTAATAAATAAACAGATTCAATGCATCAATTGGCTGCTTGATGTTTAAATATATGTGTGTGATTACTGACCCAAAACATCACCTTGAATTGATGCTTTAAAAAGTAGAAAACTGAAACAGTGTGTGGCAATATAGCAATCAACCAAGTCTTGGGTCAATAGTGGGAGTTGACGCACCCCGTTTAGACTCATCAAACTCTTTCGTGCTGACCAAGCTAACCTGCCGATTTCTTTCTCTTTCGAATGATGTTTTTTATGGCTTTTTTATTTTTATTTTTATTTTTATTTTTTCTTTAAGTTTATTCATATGTTTTATGTGGTCTCCTCTGAATCCCCATTCCATAAACCTCTATTTTTATTTTTTATTTTTTATTTGGATCGCCAATCTAGATGATTCAATAACGATCTAAACCGCCAATCCAACCGATCCGAACTGGAATTGGGGATTATCAATCCGAACCGAGTTTGAGAGTGGACTATTTGGCCCGCGATCCTTTTTTTTTAAACAAAAAAAAAAAAAAGTATAAAGGGCTACTTAAACCCTCCATGTGCTCTCACGTGAATAGATTTAATGAAAGATGCGACCTTGTTTGGGACAATTGTTACAGGCAACCAGATTCACTAACGAATATGTTATGGTCATTTTGACTCAATACGGGGGGCTTCCTTTTGTTTTACATAAACAAACCCATAGGAAAAGTTAAATAATAGACCACTGGAAAACCTTTGGAAGCATTCACTTAATCATACATAGAAAATAAAGAAAACGAAAAGTAATTGTAGAAGTAATTATTTGGATACATAATTAACTAGTAATCCCCGTTTTCCATATTTTATGTCAATGTCTCATTTTTGTGTTAGTTTATTGTTTTTGTGTTAGTATATTGTTTCTATGCCCATAATAACCCTGGTCCGGACAATCTTGGGGCCGAAGGCTGGTCTGATACTTGAAGTGAAAGACCAACAATAACATAGAGCGGTTTAAAACTCCAAGTGCCAGATCTAATTTTGTAAAAAAAATAATCTTAAGAGCGATCCAATATTTGAAATACCAAACTAGGTTTATTTTGGAAAAACATAAAAAACCGACAAGAAATGGACTTAGCATCTAAAGTATATATAAAAAAAAAGGGTTCTAACTTTTTAATTCTAAAAAAAGAGAGATTTATTCATTAATTTCCCAATAGAATGTATGTCACAATTAATAAAATACTGGAAAAATATCATTTAAGGTGTTGAAACCCCTTACCAAATTGTTAATAGCAATGGTTTAAAAAACGGATCGGTGACCCGGATCGGGCACCCAAAAACCGATCCGGATCGGCAAATCGCCGATCCGGATCGGGAATCGGGTGAATCGGTTAGAATAAAGCTTCAAAAAAATCCGACAAAATTGTTAAAATTCATTATAAATATTTTTTTTTAGGAATTCAATAAGAAATGAAGGTACTCTATTAAGATTTTTCATGTTTTTGAATGAATATGCGAATGTTGATATGTTCTTTCCCTGCATGAGCCGCCATTCAGCATTTAATTTACATCACACAAAAGGATAAACATAGAATTATCATGGAATAAGTATATCAACATACATGGACTACAATAAAGCATAAAATTAGTAACATACGATCTAAAAATAAAATGATAGACGACGTTGTTGTTCTTCTTGGTCACGCTGGTGCCATTGATTGAATTCGTTTGACAATTCAGTGATTCGATTTAAAAACGAATCATCGATATTAGCAGGCGTCTGACTATTTTCAAATCCCTGAGTGTTAGTGTTTTGTTGTGTTCCCAATCCAAAATCCCCGAAGCTTGTCCATCCTTCATGCTCACCTGCACTATCGTGCTCATCCCTACACTGTTGCTGTTGGAACTCGATATGTGAATAATATGGCCGGGATAGGGTGGCCTCAGAATCATCATCTCTTTCATTTTCTCTTAGATCCCCTTCCCACTCTCCCTCATTAGGTGCAATATCACCGACATCTCCGACGAATTGTGGATACGTTGGCTGGCTGCTTCCTCTTTCATGCTGCTCGTCACTTTCTTCAAGATCTTCATCACCGATAGCCTCAAGGAACGCTCTCTTGTGCAACACTGGCTCATCCTCTTCTACTACCCATTGGTCTGCTGTATCTATGAAAAATATTGTATCTAAGTCTATCGGCCCATAGTCTTCAAGCTTCTTTCTTATTTGTCGCTCTCTGAGGTTTAAATTATAATGAATGTAGACTAGTTTATGAAGCTTCTCAGAAGCGAGTCGATTCCTCCTAGTAGTGTGCAACCATTGGAACGTACTCCAGTTGCGCTCACAGCCAGTAGCAGAACATGTCTGGGAGAGTACCTTGATTGCTATCCTCTTTAGGTGAGGTGCATCAGTACCATATATCTCCCACCATTCAGCTGGATTAAAATGCAACAAGCATTGTAAGGGCAAGAACAATTCATAAGATTAAATATATGAATGAACAAAATATTAGCGAGGGGATAACCTGGATCCATCATAGTTCGAGAATTCCTGGCAAGTCTAGTTTCGAAGGATCCTATAGCATCCCTATACATAGAAAGCTAAAACAAATATATTACATTTTAGTGCATTATTCATCACAAATATAACAACTCAATGAAGTTCTTACCCAAACATTAAATAATACATCTTGTATTGCTGCTACTTGGTTTCGATGGCTTCTCTCCAACCTTGCAATAATGTATTTGACCCATTTCATAATCTTGTGGGGTTGTTCAGGTATCAAATAAAAAAAATTTGGGTTGAAATAGTAACCTCAAAAATATATAGGTAGAAAAATGTCATTTACAATTTCATAAAAAAATGATTTAAACTGAAACATTGTAATGATATAAATATATATTTACCAACATAATGAATTGGACGTCCAAATTTGGTGTTCCACCTCCTTTCTATAATCTCGATCACTTTGCTAGCAAAATTACACTTCTCCCCAATAGTTGATTTCGCCCTCTCAATACCTTCATAAAGGATACCCATGGTAGCTTTCTTGTTAACATCCACCATTCTTAACACCGTGATCAAAGGGGCAGTGACCTCTACAACACTGGAACATCGAGACCAGAACCGCCTATTTGAGACTATGTTGTCCACTTTTATACCGGTACTGGACTTCCAGAGGCAGTCATTTAACCACTCTTCACACGTAAACAATCTCTTTAATGCACCTTCAGATTCTCAAATGGAGTCCACAGCTAAGTAATCGGTCGCAAAGCGGGTTATGGCAGGCCTGATTATCTCTTTTTTCTTAGAGTGTTCTCTAAACATAAATAAAATTTTAGAGTGGTTATATATAAATCTCGACACCAACCTTGCTTCCTCTAGAGTCTCCTTCACAATTTTGATCTCACCGATCTCCTCTAACATAAGATCCATGCTGTGTGCAGCACACAGGGTCCATACTAGATGCTTCCTTTTATCCATCAACTTGCTACCCACAGAAACACATACACGCGTATTGTCTGTAATAAGCTGGACTACATGCTTATCTCCCACCTCCTCCACTATCTGATCATATAGTCGTACGTAGAAGTTTGCATCCTTCTTCGTCCCTGATACGTCTTTGTTAGACAAAAAAGCTGTACTTTTTGGGGAATA